AGACAATACAAAGCAATTTAGCATTTAGAACACTTGTTAGGACATAGTTAAAGCTTCCCTTTCCTTGTCAGCAGAGTTGTTTGTTTACCTTCCTTACAGGCAGTTTATCTGGGTTTTGTCTGTGACTCCTGAAGCTTTAACTATGTCCTAACAAGTGTTCTAAATGCATCTATCTATTTGCAGCACTACACTGTTTATACGGTGATCAAATTTTATGGCATGATCTATAATTTTCAGGGAGATTTTCGACATGAATGCATGTTGGGTGTCACATAGTCGCATAAAAAGTTCCCTGCTCTCCTGATACTTTGTTTTATCTATTCAAAAATGAAAGATCAAACAGCTGTACTTCAGGTTAATAGTCACAGCAGTGTTAAATTGAAACTTTGATCTGGATAGATGTAAAAGTCAGGCCTCTCAGGTCAACTCAATCATTGTGTACTAAAAACCATTAAAGCTCTTCTTCAGCCCATAATCACATTACTATGAATTACAGTGAACTCTAGCATTCTTCTATTTGTTCTTTCCAAGACTGCTTTCATGTCAAATTTAATAAAATTAATACATCTATTAGTCAGGAGAAATCTTCTCTGCTTCAGATTTTCTCTTATATATGAGGGGAGTGTCATATTGCAGAGACATGGGCATCAACCAGAATTTTTCAAAATGCTCAAGTAACAGTTACAAACTGTATCTTAAACTTTAATGATTTGTTTGGTGAAATATCTGCTGCAACAGAAATCACTGCTTATGCACATTGATCATTTTGCCAAATGTGAAGCCAGGGAAAAATGGCAGATGCAACATTATGAGTAGGAGGCATTGGCTAAGTCACACTCTCAGAGAATGGTAGCAAATTCCTTCTGAACAAATCTTGCAAAAACACAACACATTATAGTTTTACATTGGGTCTCACCATAAATCAGAAATGACTTGAGAACTCACAGTAACAACAAAGGAGACTAATCTAAAAACATGTTCATGTTTATATTTTCTGACCTCCAAAGAAAAATGATTTTCATAAAGGTTGAAAACCACTGATTTAGACCAAGATGCTGGCTATGCTGACACGAATACTTATAGTCTAATTACAATTGCAGGGCCACATGTTTCCCACTTCTGGTGTGCACAAAAGTTTTCTTGAGTTCTACCTAGAAAAGTGATTAAATATGGGATCTTTGCATGTAAACCATGTGCTCTACAATTAAGCTATGGCCCCCTCACCTACTGGTATAAGCCAGTGATTTAGAAGCTCAGATTCCAGATTGGATGAAGCCCTAAAGAGAGAGGGGGGAATGCAATAAAAACTTGAAAAGAAGTCTTATGTGGTAGATAATAGGAAATTACTTACTCAAGAAATGAATTGGCATTTTGAATAAGGTAGACAAGCTTATTAAATACACATGAGATCAGAAAGTAATCAGTTTCAAGTCAACTGCTACAGTTTTATGTTTTGAATTAATATGCAATTAAATTAAAAGCTTAAAAGCTATTAGGGGGTCTTGCGGCAGCAATAAAAGCAGCTCGATCCTTGCTTTTCTAGTCTGCAGAGTTACCAAATGGCAGCACTTAATGATAGGTACTGGAGAGTCAAAGCTTCTTATCACAAATCCTAAAGCCTCTTAAAGCCATGTACATAACTCTGCAAATACTGTTAAAAGGATAAGGGAAACAATGGTTGAATAGAACCCCTTTTAAATTTAAAGAAGTTCAGTTGTAGTAGTAGCAGCAGCAGCACATTAGTATCCTATTAAATATGTAACTAATAAAAATAATTAAGCAAAACAGAGTCAAATGCTTTGAGACCTGTCTTTATTTGCTGATGGACTACTGGATGGCCCACAAGGTCTCTTCCAACTCAAGGATTCTATGATTCTATAAGAGGCAGATGACCTAATTTCTTGGGACAGAGAGTTCCACTTAGATCAGTGGTTCTCAACCAGTGGGTCCCCAGGTGTTTTGGCCTACAACTCCCAGAAATCCCAGCTAGTTTACCAGCTGTTAGGATTTTGTGGGAGTTGAAGGCCAAAACATCTGGGGACCCACAGGTAGAGAACCATTGACTTACAGGATACCACCAAGAAACTGGGTTGTGGCGCAGGTAGAGTGAGTTGTGGCACAGCTGGTTGGGAGTCAGCTGCATTGAAATCACTACTGAATGAGAGGTCATGAGTTCAAAGCCAGCCCAGAGTGAGCTTCCAGCCATTTGTCTAGCTTTGCAGCCTGAAAGACAGCTGCATCTGTCAAGTAGAAAATGTAGGTACCGCTTATGCGGGGAGACTAATTTAACTAATTTACGACAACATAAAACTCTCCAGCAGCATGCAAAAGAATGAAGAAGCACCCCATTGTCGTCCCAAGTGGATGGTGAAGCGACAGCTCCCCTGGTGGCTGGAATTCAAAAAGCATACCCTCATGAAGCTGGAAAGTTAAATAGCCTCTGTGTGTCTGTCTATATATGTTGTGTGTCTTTGGCCTTGAATGTTTGTTGTGTATATGTCCATTGTGATCCGCCGGGGTTAGAAGGGCGGAATATAAATGCTGTAAATAAATAAATAAATAAATAAGAAACTCCTTCTTGTACTCAGATTAAACTCAGATTAAGTTTCTTAGTTGCCATGTTGAAACACTGATTTTGGACTAATTGTGGCTAGCAGGAGGCAAAAACATTATAAAAGAAATTTCGGATGCTTGGAGTGGTGAGATGGTCCCCAACAGTGTTTGTTAGGATGTTTAAAGTGGCAGGAGAGCCCATAATGGATAACAAGCATGAGCATTTTCTCAGCAGGCCTAATTACACCAAATTGGTAGCTGTGACAAATGTATTAAAAATGGCCACGAAAAACAAGAAGAGAGGGAGAAAACATAAACAGATGCTGCAACTAGCAATGGTTGATTTCTGAGCTTCTCTTTTTGTTTGTTGAATTGCTGTGCTGTCAAGAGATCCAGGAGGTCTGTGTTGCTCTTATTGCTCATCCAAAACATGTTAGACACAAGGGAAATTGAAAGGAAGTCAACATGCCGATGACAACTGTTGCTAGGGGAACAGAGAAAGCTGTCTGAAAGTCAGAAATTAGTAAGAAGAAAAGTCTCAGAAAGGACCCAGAAAAAGATGAACACCACATTCAAAGCAATTGTCCATAGGGAAGGAGCTATTTATGGCACATTACTTAACGTTGATACTCATGTACAAGTCGACCTCACGTAAAAAGTTTTGAGGCCAAAGTTATTGATTTTGGTATGAACTATAGATAAGTCGAAGGCCATTCCACAAGCAGAGGCTATCACCACAATTTCTCCACCCAGACATTCAAAAAGGACAGAAGAAACATCATGGCTGAGGGGAGAGAGCAGTCTGATCCTTCTTTTAGTTTCTCCCAGTCTGGACTAATCTGTTGCCTTTTGCCACTGTGCTCAGAGAAAGGGATGGTTCCTTTCTTTTATAAGAGTCAGTGTACAGTAGTCACATTAACTAAATTGTCTAGACTTAAACATGTGTTTATTATCATTATTATATTTTCACTCCACTTTTATTTCTTGACAGAGACACAAAGAAGGTATATACTGTATTCTTGTTACTGGATCAGCAGTGAACGGGGGCTTTCTTTTCACAACAAATGGATGAGCAGAATTATCGAAATGGACAAGGCCACAATTCCATGAATTAGAGTTGTACAGACTTGGACTCAACACAAGTCTGGGCCAAGCATTGCCCCCCCCCCCCCAAGTTGGGATGCTTGCCCTGCCATCATGACTCACAAAGCTCTCTCCCTAATAACATGCTATTTTCTCAAGACGTGTAGCATACTGACACAACTGCATGCCAGTGACAATCCTAATGTGTTAATGCAGTGGTTCTCAACCTGTGGGTCCCCAGATGTTTTGGCCTTCAACTCCCAGAAATCCTAACAGCTGGTAAATTGGGTGGGATTTCTGGGAGTTGTAGACCAAAACACCTGGGGACCCACTGGTTGAGAACCACTGTGTTAATGCAATGCAGCATAGTGTCAATTTACTTTCATGTTGACAGGTGACAACACACAGGCACAGTCCCTGCATGATTATGATGCCTTGGCAGTGGAAAGTTGCACTACTGGCGGGGCAGTGTAACCCCCAGCCAGTTTCCCCCCTTTTCTTTTATTTATAAGGCACTTCACAATTGCAAAGTGCTTGATGAGAAAAATAAATAAATTCTTGAGCATGACTTCATTACATATATTTATTTATTTACTACATTTATAGGCCGCCCTTCTCACCCCGAAGGGGACCCAGAGTGGTTTACAAGTTATAATTGTTTCTGATTTGTGTGCTATGTTCTTTGGACTTTACTCTGATCTTGATCTTATACAATAAAGACGTGAGGAGTCATTCAATAAGTGTTGCTATGGCCAGGCTGCCTGGCTGTTGAAGTACTAGTGAGGCTGTGGAGGTCATAGAGGAGCCCAACCCAGGAGTTGTAAGGAAGCAGGGCCAAAGAGGTGTTGCTATGGCCCTGCACAGGTGTTGCTATGAGGTAAGTTCTGGGACCCTGGCTTTTCCTATCAGTAGCCCCTGATGGTTTCATAACAGGAAGGCAGCTGACCGGGAAGGGGTATCACATGAGATCATGTATTAGGGACCATTCACCAAAGGTGACAGTATTGCTAGGATGCCAGTTTCCACTTCCATGCAATAAAGTCCAAAGAAGCCACTGAAAATACAGTAGTTCATACTCAGCCTGATGAGGGTTAAACCCTCAGGCTGGCAGGACTGAAGTCTGACACGTTGGAGGTTTGAATCCGGGGAGAGTGCGGATAAGCTACCTCTGTCAGCTCCAGCTCCCCATGCAGGACATGAGAGAAGCCTCCCAAAAGGATGGCAAAACATCAAAACATCCAGACATCCCTTGGGCAACTTCCTTGCAGACAGCCAGTTCTCTTACACCAGAATCGACTTGAAGTTTCTCAGGTCACTCCTGACATGGAACAAAAAGCCTGACCCCCAAAACAGTGTTGCCTTACTTGTTGTTGTATCATTAAATGATGTAGTTCCATTCTCAAGTAATGCTTCAATATGTAGAAAACTAATGGAAATCAGCATGATCGAACTGGAATATTCCATCGTGTACCTGTCAAACAAACACAAAAGATAAAAAATATAAAACATTAAGTACTCAAAAAGAAATGTTAAACAGAAAAGTAGACATTTGGTATTTCTACAACATTGCCTGCTATTTTCTTACTATTATTTTTCTGCATCAAAAACTTTTCACATATATAATCACTGAACTACTGATTCAAATTTTATTCTATGCCGTAAGGTTCCACAAGCCATATGAGGATGGATAATAAAGATGTCAGAACATTTTCTACCCACATACATATTACTTGGAGAGTTTGCAAACATTATATAGAAGCTACAACAAAAGGCATGCCTCCCCTTTCTTGTTTTAAAAACGTATATAATGCAGGGATTCTCACTGCTGTCCTCCTCAAACATATTGGGAGTTCAGCATTTTGTTATAAGAGAAAACCATACAAATTCTTGCATTGCATATTGTATGGGAAGGAAGAATAAAGGAAATGCAAATCACTCACACTTCCTCTGTTAAAGCTTTTTCATAATGCCCCGAATTTGGCAGTAATCACAGGCTTTTCTTGACACCACAATAAGGAACACTTAATGAGTGTAAACGTGAATATCATATGCGGATAGTAGGAAAAAAAATCTTGGGTCCAGTGATAATTTTGTATCAGTGTGCTAGTATTTTAGCACTTAGTTACTTCTATCTGAAAGTAACAAAATTAAGAAGCAACTTTTGAAGGCCATGAATTGTTAAGAAAGAACAAGCAATGCAATTCATCAACAGATTACATCATTGGCCTTTCCTTATACAAACACCATCCACCAAAACATACTTTTGTTAGTCTAGCCAGACTGTTTTCATTCAGTAATCACTGATAATCTCAGTAATTACAGGATAAACGATAAACCTAGTTGATCTTCTTTTAGGCACACTGTTATGAAGTCAGTAAACACCTGAATTCTGCTCTGCAAATTCAACTATGCTTCACCCTAAGATCTTCTGGAGAGTCCCTGCTCTCTATCCCTCCGGCTTCAGAAGTGCGGCTGGCGGGAACGAGAGACAGGGCCTTCTCTGTGGTGGCCCCTCGGCTTTGGAATGCCCTCCCTATAGAGATAAGATCAGCTCCTTCGCTGTTGGTATTCCGAAAAAAACTTAAGACATGGATGTTTGAACAAGCATTCGGGTAATCCGATGCGATGAAGTTGATGACCAAGGACTGGTAATTATAGACGATGAATTCGGATTATGATTTTACTAAGAGATGCATTGGTCTGTATTGGTGGCCCGATACTGTGTACTATATATGTTTTTAAGCTTTTAAATTGATTAAATTGATTATTGTTGTTTTTAAGTACTGTTAACCGCAATGAGTCGCCGTTGTAGGCTGAGATATTGCGGTATATAAGTGTACAAATAAATAAATAAATAAATCATACTAGAGAAAAAATCCACTTAAAATCTGGTTTCTGTCTCCTGCAGAATTCTGGGGTTTGTAGTTTAGGGAGGAGCCTTTAACAGCCTCACTAAACTACAAAACCCAGAATTCTACAGGAGACAGAAACCAGATTTTAAGTGGTTTTTTTTCCCCTCTAGTGTGACATTTGTTCAGAGATTCATGTGTTGGTGATTTAAAAGTTCACCAAAGCACAGTTATAGTAGATTATAGCATAAGGACACCGTTAATACAAGGACTATGATTACTTCATCGTACAAGCTGAGTACAACTTATCCTTATACAGAGATCCAAAATCTGTAATTTTCCAGAATCATCCACATGGGTGATGGAGATGGTGATGTCTTTGCTTTCTGACAATTTTAACATAGGCGTTTTGTTTCATGCGCAAAATTATTAAAAACATAATGTATAACATAATCCTCATGCTACGAGCATAAAGTGTATATTAAGAACAAATGAATATCCTGTTTAGACATGGGTCCCATCTTTAAGACATGTGAATAGTTCGAAATCTGAAGAAATCTGAAATCCAAACACTTCTGGGTTTCTTGTGTAAGGCATATGCAACCTGTAATGTTTGTCCCAGTTCTGAATAAAGGATGGGATGAAAATTAAAAATATTACTTAGTAGTAGGGTCACCATATGTCAGAAATAACTTTACCTTACCACAAGTAAGGTAAAGGGGTAAAGGTTTTCTCCTGACATTAAGTCCAGTCGTGTCCAATGCTGGGGGTTAGTGCTCATCTCCATTTCTAAGCCGAAGAGCCAGCATTCTCCGTAGACACCTCCAAGGTCATGTGGCCGGCATATCTGCATGGAGCGCTGTTACCTTCCCGCTGGAACTGTACCTATTGATCTATTCACATTTGCATGTTTTTGAACTGCTAGGTTGGCAGAAGTTGGGGCTAACAGCAGAAGATCATGCTGCTCCCCGAATTCGAACCTGCGACCTTTTGGTCAGCGGTTTAATAATAATAATAAACTTTATTTATACCCCGCTACCATCTCCCCAAAGGGGACTCGGGGCAGCTTACATGGGGCCATGCCCATCAATACGGAAAACACAATATAACACAAAAACACAACAAAAAATCAGAAAATAAAATAACATAAAATACAAAACCAATGTAAATATGCAGCACAACAATATAAAATCAAACATTAAACCACTAAAAATGATCACAGTGGGCAGGGCCAGTTCAAAGATTAAAATTTTAAAACACTGGGAGATAGGGCAGTGTAAAATATCAGGATGGGAATCCGCGGGATAAGGTTCATTGCACAAACCAGAGGTCATTTTATGCGAAGTTTGGTCAGGGATTATCATACATTCAGTCATTGAAAGCACATTGGAACAGCCAAGTTTTCGATCTTCCAGAGAAGCCCTTCTCTTGCTCCCACTCCTCCTAAAGATTTCCAGGGTGGGGGCTTGCCTAATATCTCTGGGGAGCGAATTCCAGAGCCGAGGGGCCACCACAGAGAAAGCATGAGCAAGAGATGGACCTCTCTGGAAGACTGAAGAGATCGCGTGGGTTCATAGACGGAAATGCGATCGCACAGGTAGGCGGGTCCCAAAACGTTTAGGGCGTTGTAGGTCAAAACCTGCACCTTGAATTGCGCCTGGAAAATAAATGGCAGCCATTGAAGCTCCTTAAACACTGCGCCACCGGGTAGTGGTATACTATTAAATTATATCTGATGGTTTATAAAATTTTAAATAAAGTAGACCGTTCTGTCGTGTATATAGTTCAATAATAAGGCATCTCATCACACCTTTGAGTCTAAAGGAAAGGTTAGTAGTGTAAGTGTTCGAAGATTAGATCTAGACTAAGAAAGTTTATGTTACAAACTTCTTTCTCTCAGTCTCCAAAGTGCTACAAGATCCATTTATGTACTGCCAAGAAATGTCTATCCATTCACATGTCACAAGATAAACCATGGCTTAATGTTTCAGCTGAACAAAGTGAATGCTCTCCGCCTCCAGATGGCAGAAGATACAACTGCAAAATGTGAATAAAGGAACAGACAAGCTAATGTAAACTTAGACTTAGTTTACATAAACAAGTTTACCAAAATCGACCTCCTGTGTTTGTTCTACAGTAGCCAACACCCACGCTATACTAAGAGACAGCAGAAATTTGAAATCATGTCATGGCCAGCGATAGCGTAAGGAATAATGGTTGCCTGCCAGATAAAAACACTATATTTAGAATTTTACTGCGTACTTGAAAAAGATATGTGTCCCAGTACTCATACAAATGTTTCATGGGAAAGAATTAATCAGGAAGAAGAAAATAATACAGTCCTTCAATAATTGTAAAATGGGTTCATTCACGGTAAACATATTTCTATTTACACAGGTTGCTCACATATCATTGTACAGCAGATGGTGCTATGCCTGTACTATATAACAGACTGAAGTCAAGATCCATTAAATGCATTTCCTGCTTTTACTGACACACTTGTGAAATACATAGAAATATATAGAAAACATAGAATGGCATAAACACTATACAAAAGTGTATCAAAGAGAAAGAAATATAGGGAAAAGTGAATGGGGATAAATCAAACGTTTTATATAGACAAGTGAAATAATGCAAGAACGATTAAACTTATAAATGTGCATCTGAGAGCTCTTCCAGACAGGCCCTATATTCCAGGATCGGATCCAAGGTTTCTGTTTATCCCAGATTATCTGACAGTGCGGACTCAGGGCCCTTCCATACCACCATATAACCCAGATTATCAAAGCAGAAAATCCCACAATATCTGTTTTGAACTGGGTTATCCGAGTCCAAACTGGGTCCTGGGATATAGGACCTGTCTAGAAGGACCCTGAATGCACAGTGTAATACACTAAGTACACTACACTACTGTAATACACTAAGGTCCCTTCCACACAGCTGAATAAAATCCAAACTTATTGTCTTTCATGGCCAGAATCACTGGGTTGTTGTAGGTTTTTTCGGGCTATATGGCCATGTTCTAGAGGCATTCTCTCCTGACGTTTCGCCTGCATCTATAGCAAGCATCCTCAGAGATAATGAGGTCTGTTGGAACTAGGAAAAAGGGTTTATATATCTGTGGAATGACCAAGGTGGGACAAAGGACTTTTGTCTGCTGGAGCTAGGTGTGAATGTTTCAAATGACCACCTTGATTAGCATTTGATGGCCTGGCTCTTGTTTGGTGTGGCTTGTTAGTGCCACTCAACAAAAGATTGCCCCAGGCACTAACAATAAAATAAATAATAATAAATAAATAATTACGTAACAAAAAAAATTTCACACCAACCTAGTGATTCTGGCCATGAAAGTATTCGACATCATATATAGATATTGTCCAAAGCAGTAATTCTACTGACTATGAAGCACATAAATCCAATTTAACACACACATACCTACATGAAATATCTGAAAAGTTGCGATCTGTTACATTTTAAGCAAAATGTTTGCAGGAAATGTAATCTAATGGCAGCAGCAAGATGCAGCTGCAATAATTAAGCACAATGTGATATAATTAGAATCGGTTTATCAAAGAGGAAATTTACAACAAGAATAAAATTGGGGAGGGGGAGAGAACTAGAA